ACAGTGTTTTTGCTGTGAAGGTTACGTGTAAAAATGTGTTCTCACGGGTCTCACGAAAACAGGCTGGTCTCACGTGAACCCAACCCTATGTGTATATATATATATATATGTATATGTATATATGTATATATATATATATGTATGTATATATATGTATGTATGTATGTATATATGTATGTATATATATATATATGTATGTATATATGTATGTATATATGTATATATATGTATATATATATATATATATCATTGTTGGTCAGTAAATTAGTTCATTGTTTTTCATATGTGAGGCTAAAAACTAAGAAAATGAGACCAACGGGATTTGAACTTGGATATGTGATGAAAGAAGAGGCTTACAGACCAACTTTAATAAGGAAAACTTGTATTTTCATTGTAGTTTTAAAATATATATGGTGGCACACAACAAGTTAATATGGTTGCATTTTTCACGGCCCTATAATTTTTTAGACTACGATGGATGAACAATACGGTGAATGGGCCACGATATGCTTTACATTGGGTCCGTCCATGAGTTAGGGTGTGTTTTGTATACCGGACAAGATAGGACAGGATAAAACAGGGGTTTGCCCACGTTTGATAGAAGAAAGTGGAACAGGCGTGTTCCACGACAGACTTATATTTGACCAGTATAATCTCAAAATAGAACTTAATTTTCTTCTAAAACATAAAATATGTCTTCCTCTTTACGTTTTATTCATTTTTTAAAATTTTATTTATTGTATTTTTTGTTATTCAAACTTTCATTTTATTGTTCGTCAAAATATTATTTTTATATGGTTTTTATGTTTTGGTTACTTTATGTAATTTATTAAATATTAATAATAAAAAACAATGCGAAAAAGGTATAACAATAAAAATTGAAACTAAATAAACTTTTTATTTCGGTGGCATTTTAATCGTGTTGACAAAAACTTTCTAATGATATATTTTGTTTAAAAAAATATTTATTTCATTATAATTTAATAAATTATATAAATTAATTAAAATATATAAACGACTCGTTATAGATAAATTGGTCATTTAATTTGTTATCTCATGTCCAGTTATATCTTCATTTGTTATGTTTTGTTATGTCCTATTTAATCCAGTCTGTTTGGATATCAAACGCACCCTAAAAGGCACGACACACCTGGCAGTTAGGGTTGCACATGGGTTGAGTACTTGAGTTGGTCGGGTTGAAAGCATTTGAATAATCTAATCCAATGTTTACAGTTTGAGAAATCTTAACTCAAACCAATCCAAACAAAACTATAAACCAACCTAACCTAAACCTTACGTGTTAGGTTGGTTTAGGTTGGATTGGCCGGGTTGAAACTTGGGTACATCAGTCTACAATCTAGCTAAGTGTTTGTGTTTAAGCAAAGTAAAATCAAAATGAGAACATATAAAAAAGACAAACAAACTCAAAATTAAGTTGAAGGTTCATGCAAATAAGAAAGTAAAATTACAGCTGAAATTGAATGTAATATTGAATATAGTTAATTATGGTGTAATGTCTGATGTACATATATTGATTAAGGACTTAACAATCATATTAAATTCATTGTATAGAAAGACATCTGGTTCATCGGGTTGGCTTGAGTTAGATTAGGTTCAAATTACTCTAACTCAATTCCAACCCAATAGATATGGTTCGACCTAATCTTGTATCAACCATGTATCAGGTTAGCGTTGGTTGCGTTCTTTTTGAATTTTTACGGATGGTTTTTTTAGCACCCCTACTGGTAGTGACAAATCCAAAAACTTAAGGGTGTCAAGGAAATACTGAAACTGGATAACTCATTTGAATCAAAACAATGTCAGGTTATTCCGTTTCGACTTAAATATTGAGGTTACCTGAATAAAGATAACTTATACGGTTCAATTTCCGGTTCTTTTTTTTTTTTTTTTTACTATTTCGGTTAAACTGAAAAAGCAATGAACATGTTACACTTCAAAATTTGAGTGATTCATAATGAACCAGATGGCTGGAGGAACAAACAATTAAACTAATTTGTAATAAAATAGCATGTTTTTCACTAGACAATAAACCAATTTGTAACAAATCTACTGAAATATAAATCAGAATGCTTAATAGTTCATAGACATTTAAATCACTAAATCAGTAGTGAGTAGTAAGAAATAAGAGAATAAAACTAGTACTGTGAAATATAAATCATAATGCTTAATATATATATATATATATATATATATATAGAGAGAGAGAGAGAGAGGACGTTTCAAATGCAGCTCATCACATTTGTACAACCAATATAACCCCAATTAATTGAGATATTTATGGAAATCGTGAGAGTTCATTTATTATGATTTGAATATTTATAAAAGATTATTATGATTTATTAATTATGATCAATATTTTATATTAGAAAACAGTCAAAACTTTTATAAATCACATATTTATCAAATTAAATGAACGGTTGGTTGTATAAATGTAAAGGGTTGCACGTGCGCACACACACATATGTATATGTGTGTGTGTGTGTATATATATATATATTCAATTTTCATATAACAAAAGTAATTATTTATTATATATGAACCAAATATTAACTGAACTGATTCACATGTAATGAGTGTGACCTCCATATTTTGGGTGTCAATAACACGCATAAAATTAGTACCGTGAGAAAGATGATGACGACGGGAGGATCCAAAAAGATAACATGGGTGAGTCGAATTCATTAAATGTAAAAGTTATGAATGTAAGCATCAAAGGAAATATATACCGAAGAGAACACACAACGATTCCTAATCCGAGTCATGATCGCCCATGGAAGATTGGGTTGATGCGTCAAGAAATTGGTGCACCCCAACGTGATCAAATTCCTAGTTCGTGAAAGTTGAGTGAGCAAACATCCAAGCCGATCAACATTGAAATGAGTTCTCAAAATCAGAACTCCAGTTGTCAAGGTTTTGCATGACACAATGACGATAATGTATCATTAAGGAAATCATTCAACGGTTTGCACCACGCCTCCGATAATTGGTACTTCAAGTTTACAAAGACTTTACTGGACATTGGTTTATGTTTCCGCCCATATGTATGTTGATGATGTCATGGTTTTGGGAAATACCGAGACCCATATTTGCGTATGGAATTCCATTATGAGATCATCTTTCAACTTCTCGACTTCAACTCTTCAAACAAAATGCTGGTTAATTACAAATACGTGACATCATTCTCTTTATGGATCGATGTACTTTCGGCATTATTGCACATCATACGGTATCTTCTACTTAATACATCGTACCATAAGACGAAGGGGTATTTTGGTAATAAAAAATATAAGCATGTTTTTCCAATAATTAAACATTGAAGCATATATTTCATAACCTCAATGGACTCGAGAACAAATTTCCCAATTTTCAGGATGAAAAGATTCCAAAATTGGATCCTCACATCTACCAATACTCCATAGACTCTCCGGTGGTCTTTCGAGTTCCTACTCCACCGATCATGGCGTCCCTTTCGTCTTCTTCATCATCATCATCATCATCATCCCTTCTTTCAATCAAACCCCATTATGCCATAACCATTATCGTCTTCTTAATCATCACCTGTACCTACACTCCAAGACTTCAAGCTCTTAGGGCACCTATTCTTCCACAAGACCTGCTTCCGTTGTTACCTCGGCAAGTTTCATGGAGAATCCTCACTTCCCTCCGAACCGCCACCGATCTGTTGCCCGCTTTCGTCGGAGCCGCATCTGTTTCCAATAATTCCTATATAAATTGGAAAGGGTCTTGCTTTTATGAGAACACTGCTTGGTTAGAACTTCATAACAAAACCGGCAGTGAGTTTGGTGGAGGAACTCTTCATATCAAGGTCTATAATACATACATACATCTATATATATATATATATATATATATATATATGTGTGTGTGTGTGTGTGTGTGTGTATGTATATATTTAGTGTTTAATCACTTTTTATGGTTATTGATCCTTTATTTTGTGTAAATTTGGGAATTTGATTCGTTTGGCATGTGGGTTATTGGTTTCTTGATGATTTAACTATAATTCGCTTTTTTATTTGGTTAATGATCTTTATTTTGTGTAAATTTGGGATTTTGATTTGTTTGGCATGTGGGTTATTGGTTTCTTGATGATTTAACCATAATTTGCTTCTTGAATTGCTGCTGATTATATTTTTTGGTACAGTTTATGTCCTGCTGATTAAATTTTCAATAACTATGTGTTTAATCACTTTGTATTTGTTAATTGATCTTCTGTTTTGTGCAAATTTGGTATTTTGATTCATTTGGCATGTGGGTTATTGGTTTCTTGATTCTTTTAACTATCATTTGCTTCTTGAATTGCTGGTGATTAGATTTTTAGTACAGTTTTTTTTTATGGTTCAGAGCTTAAATCTTTAGGGCTTTTTAGACCCATCTCCAACCCTGCCACAAAAAAGAACACCATTTTTTTTTGGGTAGGGGGGGCATTAGCACCAAAAGTTGCTTCAACTCCAACCACATGGCGTGTATGCAACATTTTGCTGTACGGTTGAAGCTTCCTCTTCGGCAAAATCTCATATATAACACAAGGTTTGTGGCCGTAGATGTCTTACAGTCTCTTTTGCAGGGATTAGTTTGGGCATAGCCTGGGATACCCTTCCAAAGAAATCAGTACGGTTGGAGATGCCCTTAGTACCCATATTTTTCACTTAAATTCTTTTACACACTTTTTTTTTTCACAAGCTGGGATAGGGGAGATGTCTGTGTACTCTCTGGGTGTGTTCGATTTGGTCTTAGCTTATACAATTAGGGCTTCTTGAAGTATGTTAGAGTAGAAATTCACACATTGATCGTGAAAGGGTTTAGAGCTCTTTTGTTGAAATGGAATGTTTTGTATTGGAAGAGGTTTTTTTCGTGTGGTAGAGTTCCGCCAAGATTGATTAAGAGGGAATTCTTTTTGGAAGGGTGTCCCAAGCTATGCCCATACTAATCCCGGCAAATTGTGATTGCAAGAAATTAGCCCTAATAAACTCAGTGGCCACAAATCACAATTGTTGCTTACATGATTAGGGAATTTTGTTTAATTATGATACGTGAGAAACATAAACCCTTTTTAACAAGAAACTCATAGAATCTAGACAATGAAAGGGTAAAACACGGAAATTGTCATTCTTAATCATGTTGAAATTGTCATAAGACCATAGCTATTATGGAGTAGACAAAGGATCGTGTGAGAATGAGAGTTAACGTGAGAAGCGTAAGAAGGGATCTTGACCCTTGATAACTTTTAATCTCACCCCCACCCAATGAATTGCGCTTCTCACGGGAATTGATCCAGTACATCTCATTACTGTTGATCTTCAATTAGGATTGATCCAAGGGCGGAGATCCCTTCTTACCCTTCTCATCATAAGTTTCATTCTTACCGGAACCCAATCCTTATGGAGTACTGGTTATGTCCGCTATAGTAACCACTTTTTATTTTATTTTGAGATAATATGTCAATGGAGTTGGCAAAATGATGCTCTGAATGTCCGTAAATCGTAGGGGGGTCTACTCATTATAGTTTGTATGAGTTCCGTTTTATGGTCATGGAAGTGGATATTCCGATGAGCATGTTGTGTGGTGCTATTTTTTACTTCCTCTAACCCAAAATAAATGTCCACAGTAAAAAGACACACGGTTTTAGAAATATGTAGTTATTACACTTTTTAATTAACTAAATTACAATTTCACCCATATTCATGAAGGGAATAATAAATTTCTCCTTCTCATGATTAAGGGTGGAATTGGAAAGTATGCACTTATGAAAGTGGATACTTATTTTGGGACAAGCCAAAATAGAAATGTGGACACTTATTTTAATTTATTCTATTACTTTTCTCATTTGAACCTCCCTCTGTATGAATATATGTATATATATATATTATATATATATATATATATGTATATATACACACACGTATATCCACATTCCTTAAAGAGAGCTTTGCTCGAGTTTTTCTATTACATGCACTTATTTGTTTTAAGTCGCTAATAGTGTCTTCTTCTTAAAGGTAAGCAATGCACACAGTTGGACATGTATGGATCTTTATATCTTCGTTACTCCATATCGTGTGAAGTGGGACTACTATTTCTTATCTCGGGAACATAAAATCGAGTTTGATGAATGGGAAGGAAAAGCCGAATACGAATATGTAAGTTACTACTGCTCCCTCCATCCCAAAATAACTGTTCACATTTCTATTTCAGTTCGTCTAAAAAATAAGAGTCCACTTTCAAAGCTAAGTGCCTACTTCCCAATTCTGTCCTTGATTATGAGATGGATAAATTCATTCCTCCCTCTCTTATCAAGGGTAAAATTGTAATTTAGTTGATTAAAGGTGTAAAATTACACGTTTCTAAAAATGTATGCCTTTTTCATTATGGAGAAAAGATTAGATGAAGGGGTATTTTGGTAATATATGATAAACAGTCTCTACGTTTTTGAAGGTAAAACATAAGGGAGTTGCCATTTTTCTCATGGAAGCCGGGATGTTAGGAACCCTTGAAGCATTGTGGGAAGTATTTCCGTTGTTTACAAATACGAAATGGGGCGAGAGTTCAAATCTTGCTTTTCTTGAGAAACACATGGGAGCCAAGTTTGAAGAGCGTCCCGAGCCATGGGTAACGAACATTACTTTAGACGACATACAATCGGGAGACTTTCTTGCAATATCAAAGATCCGCGGACTATGGGGCGGGTTCGAGACTCTTGAGAAATGGGCATCGGGGGCATATGCGGGTCACTCCGCCGTTTGCTTGAGGGACTCGGAAGGCAAACTATGGGTTGGAGAATCTGGACATGAAGACGAAGAGGTAATATCCTACGCCCTCAGTCTTAAAATAAGTGTTTGTATTTCTATTTTAGGGTTTGTTTGTTAGCAGCTTAATGAGCTTAATGGGACTCACAACTTATTCGGTCAGCTATACATGACTGTTCGGTAGTGGCTTAATGATATATAAAGTGGCTTATTCTGTATGTTTCTTAAGGGGGGGCTTCCTGCAGAAAGCCAAGTTTTTTCCAAATCTGCCCCTCTCAATTAAAAAAACACGCTCATCCGTCCATGGAAAAACCCTTTCAAACAAAAACTTTCCTAATCTATACAGACAAATTAATCTGCAGCTTCTTTATCCATACGGGACTTAATGGAAAATCAACCAAACAACCTCTTTATTTATCCCAAAAGCAAAAGATGACTTTCCAATGTTGCCCCTTAAATGAGATGAGAAATTCATTACTCGCTCTCTTAATAAGGGTACAATTGTCATTTAGTTAATTAAAAAGTGTAATAATTATATATATCTAAAACTGTATGCCTTTTTCACTATGAACATTTATTTTGGGAAGGAGGGAGTACTAAAGTTCCAACTTTACCCTCAATTATGAAGCACGGATATCTAAGAGTTGATGAGATGAAGAGAGAGACGGTTTGCCTTTACCGTTAATGGTAAAATTATCATTCGGTTAATTAAAAAATGTAATAATTACACATTTATTAAACTGTGTTTTTTTACGGTGGACGTTTATATTGGGACAGAGGGGGTAACATTAAGGGTAAAATTGTCATTCAATTAACCACCTTCTTGACGCTCTGCTTTTCTATCCAATTTTTTTATTTTTCTTGTTTCCGGTTACGACTAGTTACGATAACGAAATGCATTTTTATCTCAGGGTCAAAACCTTATTGTTGTGTTGCCATGGGATGAGTGGTGGAACTTTGAATTGACGAAAGATAATACGAATCCGCATATTGCGTTGCTCCCGTTGCATCCCGACCTTCGATCTAAGTTTAACGAAACTGCTGCATGGGAGTACGCACAAAGTATGATAGGAATGCCGTACGGTTATCATAATTTGATATTCAGCTGGATCGACACCATCGATGGAAACTATCCACCACCATTGGACGCTAATCTGGTAATTATTACACTTCTTAATCAACTAAATGACAATTTTACCCTTAATAACAGAGAGAAAATTTATCAATTTCATGATTAAGGGTAGAATTGGAAAGTGGACACTTTTTTGGGATGGTTTGCAAATATAAAGCGTATTTTTTTTTTGATTAACCTGGATATCCAACCTTCTATGCAAGCCGACTAATCTTAGAGCGACTACCAGCTTTGTCGGTAGCCCGGAGTCACCGCATTTGAACCTTCGTGGCCACAAGGGGATTTTTATTCTTCCCTGGATTTGAATCTGGACCTCCAGGCACTTTTGACCTTTGGAGTTCAAGCTCAAACCAATTAACTTTTGACCTTTGGAGCTCAAGCTCAAACCAATTAACTTTTGACCTTTGGAGCTCAAGCTCAAACCAATCAGGTATCATCCTTGTGGTTAAAACATATCCGATTTTGATACAGGTTGCTTCGGTGATGACGGTATGGAACAAAATACGACCCGATTATGCTTCCAATATATGGAACGAAGCCTTGAACAAGCGGCTCGGCACACAGGTTTGTGTCAAGATTTTCTTGAATTCTGTCTCGAGAACATGTATTTGGTTAGGTATTTGACATACATGTAGTCAATTCTATCTCTATTATTAAGGGTAAAATGGTCGTTTACTTGGTTAGAACTGTAATACCTACATACTTCTAAAATTATGTGCGTTTTTCATTTTGGACATTTATTATGGGACCAAGGGAATATATTTTTGTACCCATTTTGTCCGTTAACTATGATCTTGTAATATTTGATGACGTGGATCTCAAGCTTATTGTCCACTTAGCTGCAACTTTTTCATAAATAACCATCTACGTCATCAATTATTACAAGATCAGCAAGTTAGGTCCAAAATGGGTACAAATTAGGAAATTTCGAAACTTTGTTGCATTTTACCCTTTCGAATTAATCATTTGCGACAAATTTTGAGAACTTCGGTGTCCGGTTTTGGCGTACAGATAACATCCAACAGGAAAATTCTGTTTGATGGTTTGTCTTTTTTGCAGGATCTCGACCTTCCTGAAATTTTGGTCGAAGTGGAAAGGCGTGGTTCGTCTTTCGCGGAACTATTAACAATTCCCGAACAAGACGATTGGACGTACGTGGACGGAAAGTCCACATCTTGTGTCGCTTTCATCCTCGAAATGTACAAAGAAGCCGGACTCTTTGGTGATCTTGCAAACGAGATTCAAGTTACCGAATTTACGGTGAGTTTTGCCATGATTTGCGAATACGCATGCGGGTTTCACTCGATTTTGTATCTTTATCGACGTACTGTTTAGTTCAACGACCTCCTTCAAAAGCTTGTTTTGCAAAATGACCCTCTAGTGTCTCTGTAAGTTTTTACGGAAGCGGACTGTTTTGAACCTGAAACAGAGGCGCAGGTCAGATGATGGTCATCGAGTTAAAAAAATTTAGAGCAAATTACGATTTTCGTCTCTGTGGTTTAGAAATTGCCATTTTCATCCCTATGGTTTACAGCTTATTGCTATTTTCATCCTTGGACTAATTCTTACCTTTAAAGTATAGGGACCGAAACAACAATAAATTGTAAATAATAAGGACAAAAATAGCAATTAGTTACAGACCATAGGGACCAAAACCGTAATTCCTAAACCACAGGGACGAAAATCACAAATTTTAACGAACCTCAGAGACGAAATGCATAAGTTACTCATTTTTGAGGTTATTTATCTGAATGATCCCTTTATCGACACCTACGCAGATAAAAGATGCGTACACGCTCAATTTCTTTGAAAACAACTCGAGCCGCCTGCCGAAGTGGTGCAACGATGCAGACACAGTGAAGCTTCCCTTTTGTCAAATTAAGGGGAAGTATCGAATGGAGCTACCCGAGTATAATAGTATCGAACCGTACCCACATATGGCGGAAAATTGCCCTTCGATGGCCCCTGAATACTCGAGACCGAAGTATTGTTGAAATTGATCGATCTTTTAGTATAGTAAATGAATGTAGCGATACGTTATCGTTGTGTATATTGGATGTGATAACGATGAATGTAGTAACGGGTTTTAGTAGTAACATTCAGGTTATTACGGTGATTTAGGTCTTGTCTGACGATCATAAGGTATTATCTATATTATTTTATTAAGCAAATTTAACAAAAGTCTTAAAGTCTTAAAATTCTAAATGACCAAAATACCCTTTATACTCACTTTTTCACTTTTTTACCCCCTTCTCTCCTCATATACACTCACCTCTCACATACATTCACCCTCTTATAACCGATTTTTTTTAAATTATAATTTTAAATTTACACTTTATACCCCTATAATTAATTAATTAATTTACTTTATGTCCTTTACTTTTAAATGTTTCATTTTAAACTTTTATCAAATTAACATACATAATCGTATATCAATTAAAACATGTTTAAAAAATATATTTTTATTTTAACAAGTTACACAATTATAATCGTCTCGTTAATACCTTCGAAATGAGTCCAATATTGAATAGTTTTTGACTTAATTATATTTATATATTATATATCCTATGAAAAAATATTTTTAATATTTACGATTTATATTTTTATAATTATTTATTTATATATATACTATATATTTTGGGGTTAGGTTATCCAAATTGCACTGTATAATATGTTTTGAATTAATATGTTCTTGGGTTTTTTTGAAATATATATACATGTATTAATTCAACCTTAATCTGAGTTTCTGGACAAGAAAGAGGGTAAACAGTTGAAATTTCATTCTAAAACTCATCTTTTTTTGTCTTTTCATGGCCTATGATCTGTCAAATTTATAGTTTTCTTTATTGGTTTTGAGTGTTTATCTTAAAACTCAAGTTTCTTGGTTCTTTGCTCTTGGTGTAAATCGAACACATTTGTGGAGTCGTTTAAATATGTTGGATTTTAAATATATTAGATTTTAAACTGTCATACAATTTTTTCATCGTTAGTCTGTAATTGAAACTATAACTCTTATTTATTCAAATTGTATTAATATGTAAAGACCAAGTCTAACCTATATAATCGTTAAATTTATCTTATAAAATCAGTGAAACTTCAAAATCGTTAAAATTCATAGCTCTCGCCGCATTGCGCGGGTACACAACTAGTATTATTTTTAAAATTCAGGGTTTTTAAATATATTTTTTTAATTATGTCGATTATATTTTTTTTATTAATTTTTTAAAATGTTTTATTTTATATTGAGTTTCCATTTAGTTTTTAACAAACATGACTAGTTTCTTAACCATTTATCTTATCATATGACAACTAGCTTAACTAACTTATTAGTTAACAGTTACTTTTTTCAACTAACAGTTAGTTTAATCAGTTAGGTCTTGTTTGTTTTTTTAATTTTCAGCTCTTAATTTTCACTTATGTCTGCTTTCTTCAGACATTTTGTAATTTAGACTGTTTGTTTTTATTATTTTCAGAGTCTTTTATCACTTAATAGGGTCTGGAGAAATAAGATGTAAAATAATATCTTAATTCCTCTTATTTCTCATTTTATTTAATTCTCTTTGGCTATAGCTTCTTTCTCTCCACCAGAGATGCCACCGTCCTTTCATCACCCATGTAAAATGCATGCCCCTATCTTCTCTCCCCCCCCCCTCTCTCTCTCTCTCTCTCTCTATATATATATATATATATATATATATATATAATTTCTATAAATATAAGTTAGCTTAAATGATTAATGTGAAACAAAAACTTCTATCGGCGATCTATTCTCTATCAAAAGTATCGATTTTTCCACAAAAAAACTCACTGATGGCATTCCCGGTAGCATCAGAAGTCTGAAAGGTATCCAAAAGGTTCTTACGATGTTCCATAAATTTTATGAAAATCAAGAGAAATTTGCAAAATATTTGCATCTGATTTTACAAAAACAAACTATTGATTCAGATTTCAGACTTTAGACTTTTGTCAGTTTACAAAAAAACAATCTTATTGATTCAGATTTCAGACTTCAACACCACCTCTTATTAATCATAAATGAAATAAAATTTCAAACTTCAGCACATCATAAAAAAAACAAATCACCTCATAAAAAACAAATAAAAGGTGTAGCATTATTTTATTTTTTATTTAAAAAATATTAATATTTTAATTAATGTTTAAACACTTTTATTACATAAATAGAAAATAAGGGGCTAGTCATTTGGCAACCTAAAAAATTATTACAACTTTGAGAATCTATACATCATATATTATGATTGGGTTCCAATGAGAAAGAGAGTTAAGTTGAGAAGCGTAAGAAGAAATCTCCACCCTTATAATCATATTAGAACGAGATGCATCGAGATGAGATGTACCAAACCATATAAAATGATACGTTATGATAAAAATTCTCACAGTTCTCACAATACATAAGATTCTTATATGATTCTGCATCTTTGTAATAGGAGTAACAGTTTTATACCAAACCAAACCATATCAGCTATCATGTCTACCAACTGTATCAATTAAATTTACCAATTTAGTTGGTACCAATTACAATCAGTTGGTAATATCATATCAAGTATGCAAACTTGGTTGATACATAATATTGGAAGTCGAGTACCACAGCAGTATCATGGTACCGACTTATTTATTATTTATTAGTTTTTGTATTTTCATGTATCCAATATTAATCATTATAACTTTAACTGTTTTTTCCCTATACATTTAAATGTTTACAAGTTTTTATTTTGTGCAATTAAGTTTGTATTCTTTGCAATTAAAAACCTGTAAATATCACATATATTACCTAAAAATTCAAAATTATTACCACTCAAAATTTGAACAAATGACATGTTTTTGATATATTAACTTGAAGTTGATACAAAATCAGTACCAATATATAACAATTCAAAAAAATAATTTCCGATTAATTTAGTACCAGATACAATTGATTGATACATATTATAGGATTTTGTATATCAATTATAATTGATTGATACACTGAAAAACTGTATCAATTCCACCTCTACTTTGTATTTAATATTGAGGGAAAAGTCTAAAAAAACTCAATGGACTTTAGTGTTGAAATGATTAAGTTCTTAGACAATTTTTTGGAACAAATAAGTCCTTGGACATTCTAAAATATGTTAAATAAATCCTTGGACTTTTTAAAACCTGTTAGATACATCCTTATAACATATAAAAATGATTAATGTGATAAAATAAGAGAAAAACATGGAAAAAAACCCCAATGAACTTTCATATTTTCAGCGATTAAGTCTCTAAACATTTTTTGAACCAAAAAAGTACTTATATATATATATATATATATATATATATATAATGAAACAAATATACCAAAAAAGTACCTAAATTTAAAAAAGATTATTGATAAGATATATTTTGATTAAAAATAAAAAA